GAACAAAATCCAGGGCGGAGCCCTCTAATTCAAAAAGATTTATTAGTTTCCATTCCTAATTAGGTGACGGAGGGACAAGATCTTGTACTTACAAGATCCGAAGCACAAAAATCAAATTGGATAGAACGGAATCAATAGGTAGTAAAACTCGAGTCAATTTCAAAAATATTAATTTGAACATTAATGATTATTCGGAGATCGTGAGATGCGGTCTGGTGTGACGTAGCTATTAGAAAAACATTGTCTTTATCGTACCAACGTTTCGATCTTTATTGAGATCATCTTCAGGGCTCAAAATGTTTGTTTTCCGTGTAGATGTATCACTCTTGTCTTCAGAGTGCCTTCTCAACACGACAGACAAGAATGACACATCTACACGGAAACAAACACTTGAGCCCTGAAGATGATCTCAATAAAGATCGAAACGTTTGTACGATAAAGAAAATGTTTTTCTAAAACTACGTCACACCAGACCGCATCTCACGATCTCCGAATTATCATTAACTAACGGTCACTAAACACCACACATAATGATTAATGAATTAATGGGAGGTTGTTTTAGCCTGAATAATTTGGATATGTTGGGTTTAATTTTTGATAGCTGGATACGGATGTAGGGTTCATCATCTAGACATCTTCGGTATTTACTTATGGTGGCTGTACATAAAGAAAATCCGGATTCGTAAATTTTGGCAAATGGTAGGATAAGTTTTGCTTTGTCAACGAGCAAAAATTGAAAAAAATTTGAAATTATGATCCATCAACAAGATAAAATTTCTGAACGTAATTCCTGTAGTCAGGAAAGTGCTTTCGTACAAGACAGCAATATGACGTCTGTATGAAGCCGAAAATTATGAAGTATTTTCATATCGACACATATTGTGAATTCTAGATTTCAATGGCGACTTGATATTTAATACTTTGAACAGACTCAACCATAACTTTCTTAAAAGAGGATGACATTTGTTTCCTAGCTAAAGCATGTCTGTGGAAGACACAATGGCTGATGCAAAATAAAAACTTTCGTTTTCAGTACTCGTTATTATTAGATTTTTTTGAAATTTTATGTATTCTCCGTTTATTTTTATAATTACTTTTTCTCAAAGTTTGCCGAGGACCATCTAGTTTAGGGTGTCAGACCACCAAGGAGTCCGCGGACCGTAGTTTCGTGTAGATGTGATGACAAGTGTTTTACGGTCCGTTGACCTGATGATAGTTAATCTTCATCTCGAAACTGTGGATCGATAATTTAATCTTCATAATTGTAACAACGGAAGTCCGTATGAGAACGTGCTGCTAAGAAGTTTGACCAATTAGGCGACACCCCATGTGGAGCTTGTCCTTGGAGTCAACAACGTATGGCTTATTTTGAATTTCTGTTTTCAGATAGTCATTTTCCCTTGATTTCTATTTAAAAAAACGCGATATTAAGAAAAACGGTCCGCTCTTCCTCGCTGGTTTCGGCTTTTAAAGCATGTTCTGATTAAATTTATGAAGGAACCTGTTTGGAAATTTCTTTTCTTTCTACACTGCCATCATTTTAAATTAAAAACATGTTTTAAATCAAAATTAGGGGTTCCTAGGCCAACGGGCTTATTCCGATTTCCGTGAGCAAAATCTCTTTTCTCAAATTCAGATCTAATCAGGTTCTCTTTGTTTATGTTAAAACGAATATTAAGAAAAAAATATAATAGTGGCCCCTACACGCTCCCTGTATGGAGCCAAGGGACTATCCTTAATCCGTGTATCAATCGCGTATGGCTTATTCTGAATTCCCTTCTCCAACACAGATCACCTACCATCATCAGTGTCACCTACATTTCGTTGATTTTTATTACAGCCTTACTTTCTATTAAAAAAAATATTAAGAAAAAACAGCTATTTTCCAGCTCATTTTTTGAGAAAATTTCTGATAGAAATTTCTCTTTTTTTTACTATGCTATTTTGAATCTTTGTAATGGGGAAGGACGGGGACTTAACCCAAAATTATTGTAGATGATGTGGGTCAACCGCGTATAGCCTACGACTCATGCCAGCTGGATCTTCTCAGACTCAGATCATCTTAAGTTCACTGGTTTATGTTAAAAAGCTTGATATTAAAAATCCTACACGCTCTCTATATAGAGCCAAAGCCCGCTCTTCACCCAAGTCTGTCCGCATGCCAGAGACGCGGGATTTAGCGTAAATGTCTTCATGAGTCAACCGTGTATGGCTTATTCTGAATCTTTTCCCGGCTCAAATAATTTCAGGGTCTAGCTGTCCTTACCGCGGCTTTTCAAGCATTTTCTGCATAAATTTCTGAAGGAACGTGATGAAATTTCTATATTTTTTTCTACTATGCCGTTATTTTGAGCTTTTCGAAATTTAAAATAAAAAATCCGTTTGTTGTGAAGGTTCCGTGTAAATCTCGTCAGGGTTAGGTCTGGATCGTTCTCTTTTTTTTTTTTTTTTTTTTTTTGGTCCGATATCACTGGAACTTAACCAGGCATCAACCTTTAATTATGTTGAGGATCACGTTCGTAGATGATAAGCTCACCGGCCCGGCTTTGCCCTCGGGGCTCAACCCATGTGAAATACCAGTTTTAACATCAGATACTCAACCGGCTGAGATATTATTAAAGTTGACGAAACGGAATAACAGACCCCGAAGTTTGAACTTAACAGCACGGCCTCTATTATTTTACAGACACGCCGGAGATTCTTGTGTGTTATATTTGGAAAAAAAAATTTCGCCTCTCGTCATAATGCCAATCTTGAGTAAAGTCAGTTTTCCTTTTGGGCAAACAAAGCCGTTTTTACCAGCGGTTTTTCCTTAGAAGTTGTAATAATGCAAAATTAATCAACCACAAAGTGTACAATAATTTTTTGTGTACAATAATTGAATTATTGTGTGAAAACACTTCGTAAGTAAAAAGTTTTTAGCTTAAATTTTAAGAATATCTTGTAGCTTATTTGTTCACGAAAGCCTCTTTTGTTTAAGACTGACTTTCAGCGTTATAAATCCTTCTGCTATCACAAAGAAATCCGGTCTTTAAGAAGGTCGAGGCAGAGTATCGTCTTTTTCTCAGACGGTTCGTTTCATAATTTCAAGCATTTTAATAAGTCTTCTTTTGTCGCGACAGCCTTGTGAGAAAAGTGTATCGTCCTCTCCTCGGCCGCCTATTGTACGACGACCGTGGTGAATCTTTTCACACCTATACTCGAAATCGACACCTGTTATGGGATCCTTGAAATGGAAAATTCGTTTAAAACATCCTAGGGATTAAGACTTAATATAAAGCTTAAGTTATATTTAAAAAAAAGTGGAATGCTTTCATCAGGTTCTTTAGCAATGATAACAGAATGTACTTGAAATTGGAATAAAAAAGGTTTTTGGAATCGCTTTCCACCCCTGTAATTTGTTATGTAGATGCCCTCGAATCCCTCGGGCCCCGCCGTTGGACGTCGAGTAATTTCCATCTTCTTGTGTGGATTTTCATATGCATTATTTAGTGCCGTGTTCGCTTCCCGATAATAGTCCCAGGTAGCATTTTACCCCTACACGAGTAATTTGAAAGGTAGATTTTCATAAACGGTTTCAATTGAAAATAGATCTGTACCGTCTACTTTGGATTTATGCTAATCGTAAGCTTTGGGTCAATTCGATTGGCCTTGAATTATGCTAATCGTTTCGTCTAACCGGTCACAAACAAAAACTTGAAGAACCTGAGGTCGGATGCTTGCCGTTATACTTTCCTCAGTGAGCAAGTCATAATGAGCTTTTGTGTAAGCCAGAAATGCAAATTTGACACTTTTTTTTTCGATTTCGTGTAAAGTACTTGATTTAAACCGAGCAATCTGTGCTAAACGTGCTAAGTATAAAAGACAAAGTATTTTATGACGCAAGTGTGCTAGTAGATTGGATTTCCATTTGGATTCAATTTCGAAATTAACACTGAGGTTTGATGGAACCACACTGGCCGAGTGGTTAAGGCGTTCGACTCGTATTTTCCACTCCAGCTGTCCTAGGCTCGAATCCCGGCAGAGCCCTTTGATTTTTAATTTAAAATGAAAGAAATATTGTAAAGAGGTTTGACCCTTCGTCTGCGACATCCAATGTTTGGATGTAGTTAGGCCAGTCTGTATGGCGTTTGGGTTTGCTAATCGACGTGCTATTTCAATTCTTTTAATCCTTTATGGCCCAAAGTTTTCATAGTACAAGACAAACATTAGAAATTTTTTTATAAGGCTAGCGAGAAATCCCCCATAAGTACAGATAGAAAGTTTAGATTGGCGCCAAATAAATCAATGTTGCCAATACACGGGCAGAGACTGAACAGGAAAAACATTGCGCCCCGCCCTGAATTCACGGGATTTTCTGCTAACCTTAAACAAACTTGCTAAAGATTGCTCTTGAAGCAAATTTAGGCAAGAAAGGGTTAAATTATAAACTGGATATGAAAAGTTTTATATATAACAATCTGCACAAGATGTGTTTGATGGGGTGAAGAGCCATGTTGGAGATCGAAGATTCCAACATTGAAAGATTGGCGCCAAAAAATTCAGTGTTGCCAATGCACGGGATGAAACTTTTAAGGAAAAAACACTGCTCCCGCCCTAAACTCATGATATTAGCTTTAGCAGAGTTGCTAAATTTGAAGATGCCCTGAGACAATGTTGGGCAAGAAAGGGTTAAGACTAGATTTTGCTTAACTGACTGGTGTGGTTAAAGAAAGAATCCAAAAGGTGGTCAAAGCAGAATAAAATTAAATGTCATCGGACGATCTCCTTCACTTTTAAATAGATAAATTATCAACTCTGCTTTTTCACTTACCTTTCGCAATAACCAAAATTTAATTTAAGAACTCACAAAACGTATTTAAAAATCTATCTAGTCAGAAAGACTCGTTTATTCTTTTCTAGCATTTTATTTCAGCCAACAGGGATAAAATATATTTAATTAAAAATTATATGTTAAGTATACAATTGTTTTTAATGTGAATTTTTTTTTGTTGTTCTAGTGGAGTGAGATGGTGTGAAGTGTAAGATGACGCTGACCTAAGATGGGCCGTCATGCCACGCAAAGTGAGGACACGAGCGGCCCTCAAGCCGATCAACTTGGCATTGGTTCTGCTTTTCACTCTTCTTCATCGGCCGGTGAGCTCGGAAAAGGGCCAGACAAATTCAGAGTTCGTCAAAGGAAAAAGTAAGTCCCTTCGGAAGCCCGGAGGCACTTAGGTGCCTCTTCGCACCTGGGGTTTTATATTTATATGCGTTTCGATTAGAAAAAAAAACGATTCCAATGTACTTTTTATTAACGATTTAACAGAATCTTTAACCCTTTTCTCTCACCTTGTATTTAGTTTAAGATTTATGATTTACAAAAGAAAAACATAAAACATTCAGTCAATTCAACAGACTACAGACAAGTTAGTAAGAAGTTTGGGTTTACTCTGTACTTTTTATAGTAGTTGAAGTGTAAATAGTCTAAGACCTTAAGACCTTGTAGACAAATAAAAAATTATATATTTTTATATAATATTAATTTTTATATATTTTATATATTATATAAAGCTTTTATGAATTGGTTGGTCATGGATTGTCGTTATCTGCTAATCATGACAACTTTAATATGGTCACCTATGCCAACTGCTACTTGCAAACGAAAATAACTTACATAGAAACCTCTAGCATGTAAATCAAACTAAAAAATACTAAATTTCCTTGCAGAAGTATTTAAAACATTAAGACTAAATAACAGCTTGAGGCGTTTTCCTTGTTCGGGGTCAATGAGGTACACCTTGTTCTGTATACCAGTTTTTTTTTTTTTTTCAATTTTGAAGCATCAATGATTATGAATGCACCCTGGTGACATTTCCGTAACGAAATCGTTTAAAACTGGACATTGCACTCAATGATACTTCCTCTATCCAGGTTCACAACCTCTAAAGAACATAACTGTCATCACAATAGACTGTAAAATTTAAAACTAAAAGCATGGCTGGAGCTTTTATAAACATTACTCGAAAAACAAAGTATATTGGCGATAAACAATAAAGCCCCCCCCCCGAAATTGACCTCTGAGAAAATAACAAGTCCAAAAAGTCCAAAGTATATCACAACCTTTTGCCTTCTTTTCAACATACACTACATAAAAACGTTTATATCATTTCAAGACCAACACCAGTTATGGATTACGGATTTAAACCATGGGGAACCACCAAGTAGTCTAACCTAACAAGTCCTTGGTTTCATCGTGATCCTTTCCATTGTTTCATTCGTCTCTGCTTAAAAAATCTTGATTCTTTCACAAGTCCATGAAAGTCTGGAAAGCTATTAATCAACCAAAAAAACTGCTTTGCACCAGAAAACTAAACTGAGTCCATCTTCTAGGGTCATTAGAAACCTAACTCTTGGGAACCAACCAATCCAACTTAAGTCTTTGTCAGAAGAAATAATGATCATTTCAACTTCATTCAACTAACATACGATCCTCATACTTTAACAAGACCTTATCAGACCCATACGGATTTGAACTCTAGACTACTAGGTAGTAGCAGTGTACTAACCTAAGTCCTGGTAGTATAAGCAATTATCCTTTCCGCTTCTTTCAACTAACATTGCATAAAAATCGCCATACATGACGGAGAGCAATGTCAGATCTATATGGATTTGCACTCTAGGATACCAAGTAAACTAATTTAATGTTTGGCAGTATCGCCAATGATACTTTCCACTTCTTTCAACACACCGCATAAAATCCTCATATGCTAATTATTATCTCACATAGACTTATGGAATTGAACCATGAAGTACCACCAAACAACCTAAACTATTTCCTAGACATTCATCACCAATGGTTATTTTCTGTTCTTTCATTAGGTACTGCATAAAGATCTTGCTAGGTGCAGAAGTACAGAGTTCAACCCTGCAAAACTATAAAGCAATCCTGACTTAAGACCTTAGCATCATCACCAGAGATCCTTTTCAATTCTTTAATCAAACACTGCAGAAATATCTTGATACAGAAGACTATTGTTACACCCGCTTAAGGCTTAAGGACTTCGATCCTGGTCTTGTACCAAATAATCAAACCAGTATGAACTTGGCATCACCAATAATCATTTCCTCTTCTCTAATCACTGCTTGAAGATGTTCATGCATTAACAAGACCAATGCCATATGAATTTATGAACATGAACCCTGGAAAATTAAAGAATAATCTAAGGACTTGACATTAACAAGACTATCGTCATACCCACACGGACTCACCGACTTGAACCCTGGGGTACTTACTACGGAAAAATCTAACCTAAATCGAATCAAACATACGACTCCAAAGTCTTTCACATTCCAATGCTTCTTTTTTACTTCTCTAATAATAGACTGCATAGTTTTTATTAAAAAAAAAAAAAGAAGTTAATAACTGTACTAGAAGCAATATAAATTCTAGCTGTCTAAATACTAAAAACATGACTGTTATATAAAAAAAATGTGAATACTAAACGCGTTTCAAACTTCCTTGGCGGTTTGTAAAAAATATCAAACGAAGGTTTAATGTGTCACGAAAGTCCTTGGCGTCTTGATTTCGCCCTGCTTTATCCCAAGGAAAGTCCGGACGGACGCTAGATTGCGTTATTCCTCTATCGAACCGAGTACAGTCATACCGAGATAGGAAAATCATCAGAGTCGTGATCAGTATTAAAAGGGTTCCTTTATGAGGTCAGAAAGTGGAAAAATATCCGTTTGACAGAATTCACCGCTGTTAAACTCTTCACAACGGTAATACATTGTTCCCTTGTTTAAAACCGGATAAACGGGTGCTTCCTTGATGGAAAAGCTATTTTTCTAAAGTCTATTATATAAAAAACATAGATTTATTGCATAATCGTACTTTGTTTTGCTGGATTGACACTTTTTTTATTACTATTTGTACCCTTGTGTCACACCAATAATATTAATAGAAAAGAAAAGTCCCTTTCAAAATCCTTGAGACAATCTGCATAAACTAACAATTTATTAGATTTATAGATATAACCGTAATGGCAGAATGCGACATAAAAATTATTACTTATACAAACCTTCTGAAAAATACCGTAGTATTTCTCCTAAATTTTAACAAACTACTCTTTTAAATTTTAAATTTAATTGTTTAAAGTTTCAATATTACATTGTCGAATTGGAAATATTGATATATCATTTAGACCGGTTACAACTGAAAAACCAGCGAGGACAGGCGGACCTGGTTGGTCTGAGACGATCAAATAACAGGAAAGAGTTAAATATCACAGAACAATTTATTTTAATTAGTTTGTAAAAAAAAATTTAAAATTACTTTTATCAGCTTATTCTTAATTATATAATTACTCAATTAATTATACACAATTTTGTCGAAATTAAAAAAAAATTTGTCAGGCGGGATTCGAACCCGCGACTTTCGCTAAATACGCCGACTCGAGTCGAAATGCGAAGTTTGTGACATGGGCGATCGAAATCACGGTAGATCAAGTGGTAGAGCAGCGGCTTATTTAGCCAAAAGTCGTGGGTTCAAATCCCGCCTGTGAAACAAATTTTTCATTTCGAAAAAATTGTGTATAATTAATTGAGTAGTTTGTAAATACTTAATTTTTGGCGTTTCCTTTAAACCAGTTGGATTTCAATAGGCCTCTGACTACCAGTACAGCTTAACTCGTCAAAAACCCTAACCTATACCTAAGCCTAACTCTACTTCACCTAATTCTAACCCTAAACCTAACCTAACTAGTCGCTAACCCGTATCCAACTCTAACCCTACTTGTCTTAACCTGTTGCCTGTCCCTAACCCTAACCCTGCAAAACCTAACTTGTCCTACTTAAACCTAACCTAACTCAGTCCATGTGCACGCTTCGATAATGTGAAATCGGAAAAGTGGACACGCAAAACAACTTCGGGTATCCAGCCTTATCCATGCTAATATGTCACAGGAAAAATTACTCTCCAAGGTTTATTAGAAAAATTTTCAGAAGATGGCTAAATGTCGAAAATATGCCAAAACAGCGAGAACAGGCGGACCTGGTTGGTCCGAGACCATCAAAGAACAGGAAACATCACCTCGCAGAAAGTGATATTTGATTGAAACTTGAGAAATAAGTATCACTGAACTAATTAAATATTTTATTTTAATTAGTGTGTAAATACTTAATTATTGGCGTTTCCTTTAAACCAACTTGGATTTCAATAGGCCGCTGACTATCTGTACAACCTAACTCGTCAAAAACCCTAACCTATACCTTAGCCTAACTCTACTTCACCTAATTCTAACCCTAAACCTAACCTAACTAGTCGCTAACCCGTATCCAACTCTAACCCTACTTGTCTTAACCTGTTGCCTGTCCCTAACCCTAACCCTGCAAAACCTAACTTGTCCTACTTAAACCTAACCTAACTCAGTCCATGTGCACGCTTCGATAATGTGAAATCGGAAAAGTGGACACGCAAAACAACTTCGGGTATCCAGCCTTATCCATGCTAATATGTCACAGGAAAAATTACTCTCCAAGGTTTATTAGAAAAATTTTCAGAAGATGGCTAAATGTCGAAAATATGCCAAAACAGCGAGAACAGGCGGACCTGGTTGGTCCGAGACCATCAAAGAACAGGAAACATCACCTCGCAGAAAGTGATATTTGATTGAAACTTGAGAAATAAGTATCACTGAACTAATTAAATATTTTATTTTAATTAGTGTGTAAATACTTAATTCTTGGCGTTTCCTTTAAACCAACTTGGATTTCAATAGACCTCTAACCCGTCTCCAACTCTAACCCTACCTGACAACCTGTCGGCTGTCCCTAACCCTATTCCTACCTAACCTTAACTCTGCAACACTTAACCTTTTCTACTGAAACCTAACCAAACCAATGTGCACGTCTCTGTAACGCGAAATCGACGTCGTAAAAACGGACACGAAAAACAACTTGTATCCAGTCTTATTCATGCTTAATGTCGCGGGAAATAATGACTATCCACGGTTTATTAGAAAATTATCGAAAACAGCCAAACAGGGAGAACAGGCGGATCTTAATGATCTATAACCGCAAACCTTCATTTAAATATTTCTAAATTTTATTTATGCCATGAGTTTACCAGACCGAATTTCGGTGGCAACTGATCCCTTAATTATAGTTTCCACGGAGAGCCGCTACTCTGTGTGGGAGAGGCGTTAG